ATATATATATATATATATATATATATATATACACATATATATATATATATATATATATATATATATATATATATATATATATATATATATATATATATATATATATATATATATATATATATATATATATTTGCAGTTTGAGCACTCTGGCAATGGTTTGATGTCCCACATTCGTGAGACATCAAAGGTAACTATTAATAGTGGTTACTTTCATCCTGCTCATCAGCACTACACTGATGAGGCCCAAAAGGCCGAAACGGTACCGTCTGTAGTTATATATATATGTATATATATATATATATATATATGTATATATATATATGTATGTATATATGTATGTATGTCGCTATGGGCAGCTTTGACGGTGCCGAATCTTGTTAATTGGTTGGATCTTTTCTACTATTGTCTAGGAACTGTATATGTGTTTGTATGCATTTCATTTAGGACAGATAATCTCAACTGTTTTAGGGCAAGTTGACCATGACGGTCGACATGATAATGTTGCTCGAACCCCAATCCGGGGCGATACGTCCGAAATTGACCACACCCAAAAACGACGCTGTCGCCATAAAAGCTTTGGGTATTCTGAGGTGCTTATGTGGTTCAGAGATGGTGCTTTTAGGGGTGGTCATTGGTAAGTGTGAAATGCCTAGCACTGATATTTCACAAGAAAATGACCATGCAATTCTCATAGGGTTCAGATAAGCAGCAGTGGACCTACATTGCCCTTTTTTCCTAAATCTTTTTTTATAGAAACATAATTGGTACTCTTTAAGTATATTATCACTGCTTTGCTGTAAAATAGTTAGTACTTTGTGACCGAAATAATAATTTGAAATGTACCTACCTCCTACAAATGGACGTATTTGGCCAAATTCTCCAATTTACTCCGTTGTTTATCGCCAATCTCTTTGAAAAAAAATAATGTAGGTCCACTGCTCTTTATGATTTGGTAGATAGCACTATGGCGAGAGCGTCGTTTTTGGGTATCGTCACTTTCGGACGTTTCGCCCCGGATTGGGGTTCGGGAAGCGTTACCATGTCGACCGTCATGGTCAACTTGCCCTGAAACAGTTGAGATCAGTGGCGTGCTGGCAGGGGGGGCCGGGGGGCCACGGCCCCCCCAGCTGGCAATTCTTGGGGGGCGCAAAAATGAAAAGGGGGCGCCGATCCCGCGTTTTGAAAGTGGGTGGGAAGAAACGCATTCGAAAAAATATAGTTACTAATTCCGCCAAGGAAAGATGTGTTTATAGACTTATAAACAGACTAAGCGCATAGGCGGCAAAGTGAGTATATTAAATTGCAGACTATTTTGTCTAACCGTATTTGCTACCTCACGACTCACACGAAATCACTCGTTCATATAGAAACACGATCAGTGATCACACGCAATGTCTCATTACCAGAATATTGATCAGGCTTCGAAGCGATCACGGGAATTATGCCCTTTTTTGCTGGTATTATGCCCTTATATTATGCCCTTTATTATGCTTCACGAATCACATGAGCGGCGCAAATTAGATAGTTGAAGTTATGATAATGTAAATTTGTGTACGTAATTTAGTTGTTTGCGCAAGAAACATCATGAGTAATGTAAGTAATGAGATATAATGCTGAAACGCGCCCTTTTGGCAGCCAAGCGAGGAAACCTTAAAATGCATATGCGTGGGGTCCGTGTGTTATTGTATATAAAAGGGCTGTAAGTTGTCAATGTATTCAGATCACTAGATCAGTAGAAAATAGAATTGGAATTAGATTAATTGCTGGAAGTAGTTAGCATTGCCCAATTTAAGTACTACTACTAAATTCTAACCAATTTGCAAATTTCGACACGTAATGCAGTTTCCTGACCATCAGATTTCTGTCAAATCTTCCCCCCAAAGTCCAGGAAATGGCATTTCAGAAACTCTAAATTCAAAAATTTTCCTGGGGGCATGCCCCCGTACCCCCCTAGACAAACCTCGCACCTGCGGCGCTCGGCTCGTGCCTTCAGCCCTCGTTTATCAAGCGTAATAGTATAGGGGCGCATATTGGTTGCCAGTCGACTGGCCCCCCCCAGAAAAATAGTACCCAGCACGCCACTGTTGAGATTATTTGTCCTAAATGAAATGCATACAAACTCATATACAGGTCCTAGACTTGTTTTAAGGGCAATTTCTGCAAGGGAAAATGAGTTGGAATGTCGAGAAATTATCGCATTTTTATATTGCTTTTATATTAATCGAGAATGGCATGAAACTCTTAAGGAATGCGTGAATCGTTTTGGAGAAATATGTCCGCGTCAAGTGTCTGCATCTTTCGGATTTGTATATGGCGGCGAATAATGACACATATGTCGGGCAGAATTGGGCTCGTCCTACAGAGGATATTGAACAAGTCGAGATCGTTTGCACTGCTTGTTTCACTTTTCGTTATGCTAATTTTTATAAATAAAATAAAATCAGCCGTTTTTATTCATATTTTTTATTCATATTGCTTCAAATGGCAATTCAATTACGCTGTAGAAACTTCTAGCTTTTTTCATATTATATACTCTAGCTAAAACCTAATGCAGCATGACATTGAATTCGAAGGATTTTATTAGAAATCTTGTAATCATTCTTGACATATTACGATTTTCCGGTCGTGCATTCACTCATGTGTACTTGTTGTACTGGCAAATGGTCAGCACGTCATCCAGAGCAAACCTTAGAAGCTGAAAATGTCTATATTGTTTTTCCGTTCATTGAGAGTTTTAAAAAAATGGTATTGAATTATTTGAATATTTTCGTATCGAGTAGCACATTAAGAGTAAGATCACCACCGACCTTTGCTTATGATCATGAGCGAATGAGTACATTCCAGCCCCTCATCAATAACTTTCCAAGTTCTACAATCCTGGACAAAACCATCTGCGACACTCTATTAAAACATTCCTTTGTGGCTTTTTTACCAATTAGACCGGAATAATTTACTCGTTTGCCACCCCCCCACCCCCACCCCCCAAAAAACAATGTTGGACGTTTTAACCGTATTCTACGAATGCAATGAACATTGAATGGTGGGGTAAGGGGGGTGATGTTTTGTCCATGGTTGTAGCTACGGCAAGTGAAAGCATCTGGTATAGATAATAATGCCTGACAAAGATGTTCCAGAAATCGTACTTTAGGATGTTAAACTTTGCTCATATAATGGAAAATATTCTGTAAAATAGATGACCGCAATTGTTATTTTTATTTGTTTTAAGGTGTAGGAAAGGGGAACATTTTCTCCACCTTGCACGTATATTGAAGAAGAAAGTCAGTGAAATTTGTCGGCAAAATTTCAAATTTGTTAAATTTATCTGTGGCCCTCCCTGTCCTAATGAAGCTTGTCTTGGTGCAACATTCCACGCAGAAGATATACAGCGACCTTGCGAATCATCTTCGTCTGAAAGTGAAAAAAGTGGCGACGATGACGTCGGATCAGGTCATCAAGAGAAAGTAGCTGGAGAGAATAAACGTGGTGATCAAAATGAGCAACGCTCTCACGTGATATCTGTAGATCCTGATACATTTGATCCACCGTATTGGTGTAGGGCGTTCGACGTTACCGAATTTTTAAATGACTGGAATCCAGAATCTATTGTTCAGGTATTGAATGATTAGGCTTATCGCAATGAGAGAAGCGAACTAGCGAGGTTTCATATACATAAGGTTAATTTTGTTACGTTTCGGACATTTTAAATGTCCGTTTTCAGGCGACAACTGTTGTGGACGTTATATTAAAAAATGCTGACGATTTAACATTCAGTCACGTCGCGTGCGCGTGTTCGTGTTCGCATGCATGTTCCTTCTTAAAATACTTATTTAACAACGGTCTCCACATCACCACAGAGTAGATACTAGACCAGAAGGGACATTCCTATGTGTTTTGGCTTTGGAAAAACGTCCGAAATTTTTTCCGTGCTATGACGCCATCCTGGAGTGCGCACGGCACTTTGTACCTATGTTTGGCCTATACACTCCAGGAAGTCGTATTTTCACGTCAGCACTCGTAAAATATCGGACAAAATATCGTCTGAGTGACACTTCTGGTCCAATATCCATTCTGTGACATCACCAACTGTTCGAAATTATTCAAAACCATGCTGTAGCCATTATTCCGTTCTCTTAAAGAATCAATTTCTTCTCTTACTTTCCTCTGCTTTAATCCATTTTTATTTGCTATCACTCGTACCTTTTCCCAATCAATCCCACTCTCGCAATCAACGCTATGCCTCGCCAAACCTCCATCTTCCTTACCAATTCTTTCTTCTGCCGACTCTAGACTTGTTGTATGCTTTGCTACCAAATAGAAGGCTATACGTTCACATTGCGTGCTGACATTGAAATATTAAGAATTTCTCAGCCACTCTTGAGGCAGTTGGGGCCGTACGGAAACGTTGTTTCTTAGCGACTCTCTTGAATTGCTCTGACAGTCCTTGTAAATATGGTACAATCACCATATCTCTACAACATTCCTCATTTTTAGACTCTGTCGACTCACCCGTGTTCTCCTCTTTGCTTTTCATAGACCGTTTCACTGTCTCTCTGTCATACCCATTAGCCACAAGCACATATCTTTCTTCAGTTTCTCTTCTACACATCCAGGATCGCATAACGCTCGAGCACGATCTGCAAATCCTTTTAGGTTACTTCACATGATGAACGTGCGTTTTAGTCTATAGAACATGGCGCAACGAATTTTAGGTGTAACTTTACCAAATTTTTAGTGAAGAAAGCCAAAAAAATGCTGACTTCGAAAGTCTTCATTTGATGGGTGTTCTTTTTAAACATGTCCAGTATTGGCTGACTAAAGAAATACATAGGTATCCCATAAAAAATCAAAATATATTTATAGTTCACCTCAATGTTTGTCTACATATATCGATTTGAATCTTCATTGGTACGGTAAGAAAAACGTGTGCGGAAAATGTCTCTTCCTCAATGGTTTTTCTGATATGACGTTTTCTTTGACAACTTCGTGAATTATCAGTGTCAAATCCAAGAATCAGGGCATATCAGAGAAACCACTAAAGAAGAGAAATTTTCCGCACACGTTTCTTTACCATGCCTATGAAGATTCGAATTGCGATATCTTGACAATCGTTGAAGTAAACTATAAACATATTTTGATTTTTTATGAAGGTACCTATATACTTACTCAGTCAGCCAATACTGAAAATGTTTAAACAGAACACCCATCAAATGAACATTTACGAAATCAGCATTTTCCTGGCTTTTTTGACTGAAAATTTGGTAAGGTTAAACCTAAAATTCGTTGAGCAATGTCCAATAGACTAAAACGCATGTTCATCGTGTGAAGTAACCTTAACTATACCTTTCTTCATCGAGGAAGGATGGTTAGAGCTTTCTTTGACATTAAAATGTATCTTGTAGTGAACCATACATTCGATCTGCTTCGTTCTCCTGTTGACTTTCTGTTTCAGATCCAAAACCGGGATAACATCATTTTCTTGCCCTTCTTTGGTGAACTCGATTATCCCCTTATCAATGCTGTTTAGATAGTTAAGTGCTGATCTTTTTTAAACTTTATCTCACTATCATCAATAATTTTCGATAATTTAACGATATTTTAATATTTTTTACATTATATTTTTTCCCGATAATTTAGCGATATTTTTATTTTCTTATTTAAGGATATTTTTTATTTTTTTATTATTTATTTTTTTATTCCTAGTTGACGTTTCGACGTTAAACTTTTATGTAGCCGGAGAAAACAGGATTTTCCAGAAATTTGTTGCCTCTACGTCAGCTGTTACTAGGCATTTCTCTCGCATTTGTGAGCTTTTGAAGCTTTTTGTACTATTTAAAAAACGATCAGGAGTGTTTTATTAGGTTTAAAGCAACGAGCGCGCAGCGCGAGTGGCTTTAGACCTAATAAAAAGACCTGCGAGTTTTTTTAAATGGCTTCAAAAACGTTTGCATAATCAGTCAAATATTTATATAAAAATCTTTATATAAAACTATTTATATAAAAATCTTTATATAAATATCTTTATATAGTTTGCATAACAATGGTCTTTTGTTAAAGTGTTCTTTAGCTGGTATAAAGACGTATGCACGTGACTAATTTCTTAATCAAGATTGGATAATTGCGTCATGAATTACTAATGAGTTTTTGAAGTAACTTCTGAATTCAACTAAGCTTTGGCAGTAGAATTTGTTGTTGTTTATATTTGGAGTTTCCTCGACCATTTGTTGGAATACGATATCATTTTTTTATCGAAACGTCACCGTGTCCTTTGAACGAATGGTTCTGGTACGTTGACGATAGTGGGATAAAGTTAAAAAAAAGATCAGTTGGATGTGGTACTTGACCATCTAAACAGCATTGATAAGGGGATAATTGAGTACACCAAAGAAGAGCAAGAAAATTATGTTACCCCGGTTTTCGATCTGAAACAGAAAGACAACAGGAGAACGAAACAGATCGAGCGTATGGTTCACTACAAGAAGACACATACAAATACATTAGTATTTGTATGTGTCTTCTTGTAGTGAACCATACGCTGGATCTGTTTCGTTCTCCTGTTGTCTTTCTGTTTCAGATCCAAAACCGGGATAACATAATTTTCTTGCTCTTCTTTGGTGTGTAAGGGAAGATCTAACCATCCTTCTCGATGAAGAAAGGTATAAAGGATTTGCAGATCGAGCTATAGCATTATGCGATCCTGGATGTGTAGAAGGGGAACTGAAGAACATCCAAGATGTGTTTGTGGCTAATGGTTATGACAGAGAGGCAGTGAAACGGTATATGAAAAGCAAAGAGGAGAATACAGGTGAGTCGACAGAGTCTAAATATGAGAAATGTTGTAGAGGAATTGTGGTTATACCATATTTACAAGGAGCAATTCAAGAGAGTCGCTACGAAATATCGTTTCCGTACGGCATTCAGACTTGGGAATACATTGAGACAAGTGAAAGCAAAGGCTCAGAAACCACCGGGGGAGAAACGAAATGCTGTTGTATACGAAGTTCCTTGCAAGTGTGATGAGGCGGTTTATGGGGGAGAGACTTGGCACTTATTTGAAACTAGAAAGACGGTTGACGGGAGAGGACATAAAGAATGCAAACCTAGAGTCGGCAGAGGAAAGAATGGGAAGGAAGATAGACGTTTGGCGAGACATTGATTGCGAGAGTGGGATTGATTGGGATAATGCGCGAGTGATAGCAACTGAAAATAGATTATATAATGAATATTTAATAATTGAATATTTAAGAGAGCGGTGGCTACATGGTTTTGAATAATATCGAACAGTTGGTGAAGTGGAAACCATTGTTAAATAAGTATTTTAATGCGAACACGCGCACGCAAGTGGATAGTGACAGGCGCGACAACTGACGTGACTAACAGTTAAATCGTCAGCATTTTTTAATATAACGTCACAAAATAGGAAGTTATACCAGAAGTCTCGCTCAAGCAAGTATTTGTCCGCGTTTTTACAAGCGATTCGTTATCAATCACGCCATTCTGGCTAGTACAACCGGCACTTTGCACCTACCAAAACCTGATAAAAACTTCCGGCTGTACTAGCCAGGATGGCGTGGATTGGCGTGAGCGAGTTAGAATTTTCCTGGATGTAAAACAACAAAGGCACCGACTCAAGTTACACTTCTGCTATACTTTCTATTTTGTGATAACGTCCACAACAGTTGTCGCCTGAAGACGGACATTTAAAATGTACGTAACGTAGCAAAATTAATCAAATTAACCTTTGGTATATATCCTTGAAAAATAAAAACAACAAATATATTAGGAACAACAAATTAAAGTGAACGTTTAAAAATAGAAACAATATTAAAAATATCCTCCCACTTTCATTTTCCTATCAGAATGTTTTCACACTTTCTTAGCTCTAAAATAATTTGCTTATGTTTTTGTCACCCCAATATAATTTCGCCACTTGTTGTGATTAATTTTAGAATGAGAATCGGCGCGGAATGGAGGAAGGTAGTGGGAGCATACAAGAAGAATGTAAGGAATGTTGTTTTTAATTATTTATGCTTTGTATATTTTAGAACTGCTTTTTCAAATTAACTCTTTGCCCGGAGGTTTCTAAAGCCACCTGACGAGAACATAGTTAAAAGGGTACCTCTTGAAAACTTATCTATGAATAACAACTCATCCTGTCAAGATCGTGCCGTTTCCGTACCGATCGTATCTATTTTCCATCTTACCATTTAACTCTCCAATCACAACTGGGGTTAGCGTTTCATCTAAGGAAGCATTTCCATTTGTTCATTGGGTGGCAGAGTTGTGCAATGCTAGAAACGTGGCGGGGGCTGAATTTTTTACGAATCTTTGCCAGCATACAAATTACCTACACCAGCATATAGATTGCGTTGCATTTTACTTCTAAAAAGTATCAAAACGTTGTATTCTACCAACAATTATTTCTCTCTAGGTATCGAAATAATCAAAATAATTACATTCCTCTTTTCAGGTTGTGTCAAGGAGTGCTGTCTGAATTTGGTTTCAGAGAAACTCGGGAATAGCTGGAAAGATCTAGGCAGAGAATTGAACGTTCCTGAACCAAAAATTCAAAATATTTCGGTTGATGATCATGGGCAAAAAGAACAAGGATTGGACGTACTCTATGCTTGGAAAAATCGTCTTGGAAGTGCGGCAAACGTGACATCATTGACTGATAGCTTGGAAAAGATTGGCAGAAAAGACGTTGCTGATCTACTAGTTACCCATCATAAAGAAAGACACATTAGTTAAGAACAAGTACCATTTAACTTCGGTGGAACATTGGCATTAAGTTCAAAAACGAGAAAAGTTGTTAAAACCGCGTATGCAAGCGCCAGACGTCGCAGTGAACGTGTTTACTGCTGAAGATATTTTTATAAGAGTCTCAATATATTTCACAATCATTGTCTTACACAAGTTTACAGAATTACCGACCAAGTTGAAAATAGCTAGTCAAGTTAACATGTAAGTTTTATGTCAGACGGTCACAAAGTTTATATTGTTTATATCTTGAATTTTGCGGTTCGTTATATAGTTATTTTAGTGATGATTGTTGCAAAATTTAAGTACAAGAAATCATATTACATTTTACCCCAGAACGACTCCTTGTCCGTGATTTTGACTCTTTTCGATTTACAGTGTATCGCTATAGCTTAGCGCTTCCGGGTTTGATGCGCGCAGTCAAATTCTAGATCTAGGGTTAATTGTTCGTGATCGAAAGAGAAATGGCAATGTATTTTTTTATTTTTTCATTTGATAAATCCTTTAAGACTGTATTTTTAATACTTTTTTTACCGTTTTCTTCATATCTTGCTTACTTTTACAAATATTTTAATCGAAAGGCATGAAATGTCCACCATCTTCAATTTCTGTAGATATGCATGTCACGTCACAGCACATCACAACACAACAGGGGTCACGTAATATTTTTAACTAAACAACCACTATAACTAGAAGTTACTATCGCAAGGATAATGCTGCCTCAACCCGCCTTCCATCACGCAAGCACGTTAAGCACCCCTGTTCAGGAGGTAGGAAAAGTGCAATTTCAATATGAAAATATCTTGCACAAAGTCGAAGGTCACCTAAATATTCTAATCCTATTGACTTCCACAAATCCCTTACTCTCCAAGAAGTTAATTACTTCCTTGAAAATTCATTCATTCTAAACAAAGACGAAGGAGTTTGTGAAAGTCTACAGGTAATGCTATGCAAGTTTTTAATGAATTTCATTATTCAAGTAGATGCAGGTTTATTAGCATAGCATGACCTCATGACCAATTGTCATGGCTAGCTTGCCACTGAATACTGTAGTACTGTACAATATCGTGCATAACAAACAATCATAATACTTGAATGAATCATTGGATATGTAGAATTTAATAACAATTTCATACATAGAAATACTACAAGTAGGGGCCTGTTCATATGGCAAAAGTTATCCTGGTTAGCGAGAAATCTATTCGACAAGTTTACAAGCGAGATCTCGCCTTGGTATGAAAAGTTACACTGAAAAGTTACACTGCGTGAAAAGTTACACTGCGTTCAGATGAAGGCCATCTTCGATTTGTTCTACTTTCATGGCGTGTCCGCGAGCATTCTGGCGGACAAAAAACGCACAGGTTAAGGCAAGTACAGAGAAAGTTGAGTAATGTTCGCTCCGCCCGCGCGGGCAAAGCGACTGCAATGGAAAATTGCCTGAAGACAACAAGCTTTCCCATGTACCGAGATCTCGCTTGTTGACGGGCGGGATCTCGGTGACCGGGATAATGGTTTTCCCATGAACACAACTTTCCCGCTTAACGGGATAACTTTTTGTCGTGTCAGCAACTATTCAATTCATGTTCGGTGCTACGTCACAACGTTGAACAATCTGCCAATCGGAAGTATTTTGTTGACATTTTCGTTTAATATGTCAACTTCAGATGACACGATCCATTTGTAATGACTAAGATTGTACTCAGTCAGAACTGAAAAACTGTATACTAATAAGAAAGAAATTGTGAGCATTATCGTATACAATTGTGTGTTCCAATGCGGGCATTATACTGATCTATTGACCTTATGCATAATGACATCACAAGGTTTGATGACCACCAGGAATGCTGGTCTTAACAGTCATCGCCCAGGAAAATGAAACAATTCAAAATGGCCATCATTGAAATTTTCCCAGGTCATGACCACTAAGACCCGCATTACTCGCAGGCATCAGACCTTGAGACGTCATTATACATAAGGTATATTGTTATACAGTAAAGCCCCCTGCATAAGAGAACCAGTAAGTTAAGAACCACTAGCCAGAAATTTTGGCAATTAAGCACCCAAAAGGCCAAAATTACTGTAATATATAACTATTTTTATTGGCAAATTTCTAATCAGCATACAACATATATATTTGTAAAATTTGATATACATTAGAATACCTTATTGGCTTGATCTTTTGACAGAAATATGTATGCGACATCACACTTCGCTAGCATGAGTAGCAAGTTTGGTACACCGAGAGTTCACAATCCACTTTTTTTTAAACATAATATGAAGGGCCCCTTTTCATTTGATTTGACCAAAAGATCGCCACGAACACACGAAAATAAAGTAGATATTTTTTTGAAAAATTGTTGTCAGGAACTATTCAGGAAAGCCTGCGAACAGCCGTATAGAAATAAAGTGGAAGTTAAGCTGGAATTCGAATCATACGTCGCAAAACGACATCAATCCATTGTTCTAAATGCTGAATCAGAAAATCTCGAATGCTCCTCCACATAACTCGCGGAAAGACTCGGACCGACAAAATTAGTATCCTTCCTCGTTTATTAAGAATTATAACCTTGACTTTTCTGCAAAGGACTGAATTTAAAAGTTTTACATATAAAATTAAAAAAAAAAAAAAAAAAAATACTAGAACTACTTAGGCCTGTTCGATATACCGAAAATATCGGTATTAAATCAATATCGGTATATCGATACAGGATATTCAACCATACCGATATACCGAAATTTCCGATATACCGGAATTTTTCGGTATACCGTGTTAAATTTACCAACTATATGGCGAAACCATAACCTTTATTTTACTACTGAATGGCAATTCAAAGAACTTTCTACTGCAATGATTTAGAATTTCCACTTCAGTGAGATTTTACACTGAGTACGTCTCGTTCGAAACAGCTTCGAAATTATCGTTTTTCCTTTTAGAATTACTCAAAATTTCCTTCAAATTTCCATTAAAGAATTTTCCTTTATAATTATCAAAGGGAAACCGGTATACCGATAATATCGGTATAATTTTTTCGGTATACCGATACCGGAAATTTCTCATACAGAACATTCCTAGAACTACTATGGTATTATACAGCCTAGTCCCAGTCGTTCTGAAGCAAGCGCAAGAAAAAAGTGGATGTATTACGAAACTGGGACCTAGATGTGACGTCACCGCTCAAGGTGCTTCAGAACGCCTAGCAGATTTCAGTATTTTTAATATGGCGGAAAATTTATATATACAAGTAACCTTTTAATTATAAATACGACAATGTTCGTTCATCATGTACATGTTCGATGTCTACATAACCAAATCAAACCGTATTAAAAATGTGCTCAACTAAAAAAAATTATATACAAATTTACGATACCGAGTTTGAGCAATCGTCTATGTTTATTCATATACTCGCAAGTTGTGACGAACACCAGACCATACTGGTATACACAACTACGCCTTCTACTTGACAGGTTTAAATTGCTGAGGAGATTGGAAATATTTGCCTGACATGACGGTGTTGTCAAAACATTTTTAGTCGGAGACTCGGCATAATTTTCAAGCTTCTAGTCATTTAATATGGCTATATATTTTAGTAAACACGAATCATATTTAGCCTGTTATTCCATTCTGACCGAATGGCAGCGAAACGTAGCCTATTTCATTGTTCCGACAGCATTAGAGCAAAACTAATGACTTAATTATAAATGCAAAGGAAATTTCCATAACATTTTCCATTTACAAATGAGGTAGGCTTGGTAAGCAGGCCAGGGACCACTTTTTTGAAATCAGGGACCATTTTACCGAAATCCGCTAGGCTCTCTCGCTGAAGCGTTCCGCACAGCACACCCAGGCATAAAACTTTTAAGACTTATTTAAATATACTAGAAAATACATGCACGCAGAAACCCTCGCCTTGCTGACAAAACCGTTGTATTTTTCGAACATGAAGTATCTAAAGTAGTTGTCATGGAAACACGATAAATTTTTAAGAATATTCTTACAAATGAAAATCGCCTGAAAATATCACTTTTAATTACAAAATGATCGATTTCCCAACATATATATGTTAGGTATGTAATTATACGTAATACAAGCTTCAATTTAAGGTAAAATTCAACCACAAACAATTCACAAAACGTTTTAAAAGTGTTCTTTATAAAACTAAACTGCCTTTAACTATTAAATGACTTTATCGATAAACTTTGAGTTTGCAATAAAATGATTTCAAATTCTCGCTTGCAAATAACTTTGCTTTATTTTTTATTTAAAAAATTCAATATAATAAAAAAGGGAATCAATATTAAAGATACACTGAAATTATATGCTATCTTGTTTAGTTGTTTCATATACGCAAAGGCCGTCGGGTTTTAACGCCATTATAAAATCAGTATTTAAAACAAACTTACCTTCATTAAAGTCGGCTCCCTTCTTTTAGCTGATTCTTTCGCCCTTTCTTTCTTGAAATTTACAAAATCTTGCAGAAATACGAGCAAAAATGAAGAATATTTGCAAGAAATTTATCAATCATCAACTCATCAAATCAAAAAATGTTTGCTATTTCGCTGTCGTCATGCAGTCGTTATAATGCAAACTTTAAATTGGACCAATCAGTGTCCGTTATTCATGACAGTCCGCCATATTTTTGAGATCAGTGAGGATGACCACCCATCGTTGGTGACCGACGCCCGCGCTCATTGATGAACTTTAGACTTCGCTAATGCTTTCGTTTCCCCGGGTGTAAATAGCCGGGGGGAATTAGTACCCTCGCACGGCGCTTCGCGCCGCAGGCTCGGGGATCAAAGCAGCGAATAGAGGGAGAGCCTGGGACTAGGCTGGGTATTATACCGTCCAGCGGCTGCAATTATGAAGGAGTTCTTGAAAAGGTCCGTTTTACGTCTTGGTATAGTGAAATTTCTTTTGTTCCTTAACGAAGAAATTACGCTCAGGTTATAAGGCAAAAGCCCATGAAGTTTATCATTTGGGTTCATTACAATTTTGTTGAAAAATTCATCACAAAGATGACTACGATGATCGGAGAGTTTATGCAGTTTCGACATTACCAACGCTTCAGAATACGGTACATCGTAATCATATATGATATTCAACGCTCGTTTCTGAATTCGTTCCAGCATAATGTTTAAAAACTCGGGGAGGTTAATGTGGAAAACTTGGTAAGAATATAGTAACAGTGAACGGATACATGTCACGTAAAAGTTAACTAAGTCGTTAGATGGTACTTTTGCCCTTCTCAGTAGTGACAGAAAATAGAGTCTTTTGGACGCCTTTTTGACGATGTTGTTGATGTGCTCATTCCACTTTAAATTACTGTGCAATGTGACTCCTAGAATTTTGACAGATCTAACAATGTCTGTTGTGTTTCCATTAATGGTAATATTTTCATATGTTCCAGGGAGGAGGGGGGGGGGGGTTAAAGATATTCTCAATTCCTTACATTTTTTCGGTTGGATTTGGCTTTTGTGAGTGTTAAATTTCATTCTAAACGACGTAATAGTACAGCCCACATATTGCATCTTACAAGTCTTGCATGCCGTACAAGTAACTAAATAAACCATTCCTTCCGAATTGCAGTCGAAGCGATGATCAATGTGCGATTTTCTATCCTCAACATGATTCTCAAAATGAGCCAACCAAAACATCGCAAACTTTACATTTTCTACTTCCACACTTAAACATATTCCCAACTGCATCTTTTTCCTTAGCTTAGATCGAACCAGATGATCCTTAAGATTTTTACATCGACGGAAACTCATTATTATCATAGGTGGTTCTAGCATTACGCTTAAAAAACTATCACAGACAAACCTATATTCCGTAGAGAGCACTTAAAGCTGGGTGATAATCAACTACGAAACAATTCCTACTTTTTGTTTCAGGGCTCTCTTTACGCGTAAAGAATTCAATCGAGCGAGAAAATCACTTAACTCCTCACCATGAAGCCAAATCATAAAACATCAAAAAATTTCCACCATATCCAGGGCCTAAGTTCACAGCTAGCCAAAAATTCCTCCTCAAGATAATGATACCATAATGAACGATAATACATGAAAACAGTTAGGGACTGGTACGAACGTTCAACATACGTTGCGATTCAACTATTGTTATTCTGGATTAAATTCAAACATTGGAAACAGTTTTAAAACGATTCTATACATTAAATAAAACGATAAACGTTATAAAACATCGTGTGTACTATGGCGAGTAGCATTTGGATGTCCCACCGAGACTATGGAAGGTAGGCTAATACGTAGAAAAATACGAGATTTGCGAGTTTTAGTACTGTTTAATAAACGAGCAGGAGTGTTTTATTAGGTTTAATTAAAGCGCGAGTGGCTTTAGACCTAATAAAACACGACCTGCGAGTTTATTGAACGGCTTCAAACACGACTACAAATTCAATAGATTAACTGCCTTATTAGTATTCTTTATATAAAAATACTAAGGGACCATTCATTATTTATGACCGGGTGTGTGCTGGCAAAATTCAATTAATAACTAAACAAAATGTCCTGCTCTACCCCCTGCATCACAAAATAATTCAATGACCCCATTCGCACGAGTTCTAAAAAATAGTTACCCCTCCCCACCACCACCACCACCGACAATATAATAAATGTACAGTACTGTACAGAAATGAGCTCTTTAAACTGGTCGTTAAAGGCATATCAGATCTTTCGTTTACTTGTCCTTTCAACAATATGTATGCCTATTTAACCCATTAATTATACTGCAGAGTTTTCTGTCACAACGAGTAAAATCGTCTGGCGTTAAAAAAGTAAAAATATAAGTAGGGTGCACTGGGGTGCGATGGGTTAACTAGAGACATTGTCAGATTGGTTAACCCATTAAGCTACAGAACGCCGAACAGGCTAAAGTCATACCATTTTTCGCTACAAAGAGTGTAGTAACTAGTAAACTGTAGAGTGTAGCTTGCTCCAAACGTAAAAAAATGCTCAAAAGTTGCCGAGCACAATCTGGACATAGACAACCTAGCAGAGAGCTTCTCCGTTGACGAGTAAAATCAGGTCAGGAGTTTAGGGTAGCTGGGAGAGGAAATTTTTAAATGAAAATGCCATTTCTTGGACTTTGGAGAAGATTTGACAGAATTCTGATGGTCATAAAACAGCATTTTAGTATGTCGTAATTTGCAATTTAGTAGCACTAATTGGGCGAAGGCGTATTTAATTAACTATATACTGGATAAGTTGCTGGAAAGTATGAAGAATATCTTAATTCTTTGCAGCTTGTCATGGATAATGTAGCCGCTATTAGGTATATTATTTAAATGATAAAAGCTGCATGATTTTGGAAAAAAGAATGATTATTAGCGAATGATTGGGGGGAGCTGCAGCCCCCCCCCCCAGGTTGCTACGGCCCCTGGGTTAGGAGTAGGGTTAGGGTAGACGTACCACGTCATTGAACTACAAAGACCGCTAAACAGCTAGTGAACTGGACATTTAACTCGGGCTCGGATTTGATTCGGACTTGACACGGTAAACCGACAAACTCTTTACTAAATTAAACCAAGAATAAAATACTTAGTATAAACTAGTGTATATAGTATATGCCAAACTTCCCCTGGACGGCTGGACGCAACATCGCTTACTGATTACCTTTCTTTGATTAAAATGTGCATAATTGAAATATGACAAAAATTTATGGCAAGTTTGTGGCAAAAGTTATAAGGTAGATGTTCGATTATTTTTCATGATATTAGCTGTGCGCATTACATTTCGGATATTCGTGCATTGCATTTTGGGTCTATCTGTTGATTAAAAGTGAGAATTTTGCGAGCTATACATGAATAAAATTTGCTGCCTTGCTCGCTATCTGTGGTAGCAATAATCGTTACATGTCAAATGTTTCTCCACTATAATATCACAATAATAAATAACTGCACCCCCCTTCTGAACCAATATTTTTAGGTGCACCCCCTTTTTCAGTCAAAAATACCACATGTCCCACCCCTTTTTTTGCCAGCCTACCCGCAGTCATAAATAATGAATGGTCCCTAATGAGGACACGACTACAATAGATACTGCATTATTAGTATTCTTTAAAAAAAGAGTACTAATTAGGAGTGTTTTATCAGGTTTAAAGCCACTGCACGTGACATATTATGGTTAAGATGATTTGCCAATAAGCTTATGAATTATTAATGAGTGTTTGAATGATAATTTATATTTTATATACGTGAGTTGTTGACAAATTGTGGATATTGGATATATATTACTTCTCAAATTCATTAATAATTCATGAGTAATTAAATCAATAGTATGTAAGCATTCCGTCACAAGATGCTGTTTGGATACCGCGGTCAAACACCGTCAGACACAGCACCACAAGAGTTTAGCTGCACACGTGATTAAGATATTTGTTGAAAATCACTAGTGTTTTCATCAAATACCTTAATTACGTATGCAAAATCAGGTAAGCAAACGAAAACATACTGTTACGTCCCGATTCATTTGAGAAGCCATATAAACAACTCGAGCTCGTGTCTCACCAGGATATCCAAACACGAGAAAACAATGCATGAAAACACGAGCACGAAGCCCGAGCGTTTTCATACATTGTTTTCTAGTGTTTGGATATCCAGGTGAAACACTCGCTCTCGTTGTTCATATATTACATAAAAGTTTGATACAAGTTGTACAACGGGACGTTGGATGATCTACTGTTGAATAATGTCAGAGGATTTAATTATAGAGCTTCAGTCTCGTATGCTGGGCTTAAAACGAATGGAATTATCCCGATTTGGAGAAGAAATGAGATGGATAAAGGTAGAAGAAATCGGAGAAAAGGGTAGGTGAGAACTGATTAAATTATACGTGCAGTACTTGAACAAAAGGACTTAAGTGTAATGGTGAGCAGCTTGACAGTCTATTGGGGAAAATACAAACTATTTTAGTTAGCAAAACAATGAGTCAGAATGAGGAAAGTGTGAAAGCAAAAGAGAAGAGTGAACAGGAACTGAAACGATTCGGCAAATAATAGTGTTTGCATGGAAATAATTAATCCGATATCAAGATCAAATATGATGAAGGGCTTGTCCAAGGTCTATTCATGCATGCTCTAGAAACTGGCCTTTTCGATGAAGTCATCCGGGCAAAAATGAGTCCACTTCTTAAGAACGAATCAGTGGCTGATGAAGAGCTAATTGAAGTAACGGACGAGCTCTGCGATGGCTGCTGAATCAGAAAGAGGCACGAAGTTCAAGCAGGTGGGTCGAGCAAAGTCCTCACCAAAAGTCTCAAATATATAAATCGGAGTGCCACCAAGGCCTGCAGAGACACCAAATGCAGATGATAGTGAGATACTAGCCACATTAAAAGCTATCCGGGGAGAATTAAATACAGTTTAGTCCGAGGTAGCTAGCTTGCGGACGAAAGTAGACCAGAAAGATTGCCCTCAAGGACACCCCCCCCCCCTTCCAGTAACTTCATGATGGGTCGTGTTGGTCAAAACCGAATAAATGATGGCCGTCAGAGTGACAACCCCCCCCC